TGGGGGTTGACATGCCGTGTGTTGCAGGTCTTCTTGATCATTTGATTCAAGTTCAGGACTAGATTCAGCTTGATCCCTTGAGGATCACCTACTGTTATCACTGATAACAGGTCGGTTGCCGATTCGTCGGTCTACGACTCAATTTCAACTCTCCCTCTACACTCAACCTAAAAGGTTTTAGCCCTGGTGATTTCGTTGTTTTATTAAGGTTTCACCCAGACTTTTATTGAATGGTCATTTGACAAAGGTGCTGATTATTTAATCAAGGTTGGTTGGACAGGAGGTTTTGGGGTTTGCATGGCTAAAGCAAGGGGTATGAATGTCGAAGGTGGTCGGGGTTGACTCCGTGTAGTGTGTGGGCTGTTGATCTGGTTTGTTGGTGTGATGGCAGGTATGTGCTATGAATCAGATTCTGGATTTGGTTGCCTGCGATCACACATATACGTATTATCGTAAAAGACCCCAGTGAGACCATGAAAAATGATCGTCATATATTTAAACTCTTCTATATATATACATGGGTATACTTGGGATGAATGTTTGCCTGGGTTGAAGAGCCCCACATTGGAGCCCACTCAGAAGCTGAGACTGAGGGACTTAGGGGAGGTCTCTCCTTTTATTCTTGTCCCTTGCTTTTTGACGATTTTCTTAGTCGAGCGTCTGGTCCTGGGCCGGGATTCGAGGTCCTTGTCCAGGACATCCCAAGCCCTAGGCTCTGCAGGGGAGGGGTTTTCCCTCGCAAAGAGCCTATTTGATTTGCCTACCGTGACACTCAGGTCGAGAGCCTGAGGTGTCTCGACGGCTGCACGACTATTCCTTCAGCCGTGCAATGTCGTGAAGGGTTAGACCCTCACGACACTTCGAGTCTGACACTTGAGTGTCATAAGCGGTACTCGAATCCACGAGGGACCGCTTGATTATGGGCACTACATAGTACGCCATCGTTGCGAATGATTGTGTACGCCTGCATTGCAAGCCGATATGAGTATGCCCTGCGTCCGCGCGGTTTTATACCAAGTGCGGCGCGGGACGCCTATCCGATTTCCGCACCGGAAAGTTATGGGTTGGCTACCGAGGGGCTAGGAGCGTTGTCGCGTTGTTGGTACTATGTCGTTTCGTATATATGTTTTTTTGTGTGTATGAGTGTTCGTAAAGTGCAGTGCGTGTGGTGTGTGGGATGCGTCCTAGTCGACCGACGATTAGTCACGCTTGGGACCTCAGCCCCCCGAAAATGTCGGTTCGCGTGCGGGTCCGATAGAGGCGTATTACCGCGCGTACCCCCCCTTATGCTATAGCGAACGAGAAACGCCCTCGGCTGGTCCACCTCTGCGATTGCAACTGATTAGCTTTCGTAGTGTGGACTGGTAGCTTGGCGGGGATACGCCCACCGAAGGGAGGTGACAACTCCCGTAAGGTTTAGGTAAGTCGTGCCTCGCGTAGGCCCTATCCTGTCGTAGGGGCTCGCGAGAGTTATGGCTGGCGCACCCGGCCGGAGCGGCTTGCGGAAACTCCATGTATATTGCGACGAAGGGTTATGAAAACCAACTCCTGCGTGACGCGGCCGGGAGGGTCCCGCGCTGCCCCCGTGCGGTGCCGGACCGATGCGCCCGACAGGTGGCGCCGTTGTCGGGGATAACGGAAAGCCTACCGTTGTCCCTGGTGGAACGACATCCGGGTATGAGAAGTGAATAAGAAAAGGCATAAAAGAGTAATGAGAAGGTAATGAAGGAATATATGAATGACTAAATGTAGGTGAGAAAAATTTACCTACCCAAGTAGAGGAAGTATGAGGGACGATCGTATTAACAGTGGGTAAAGTAAGTACTAAGGGTTAGGTAGGACGAATGGAATAGACCGGTCAAGGTATAATGTTGAATAAGGGGATGTACTTGTTTTCTTTTGCCAGGGAACTTAAAAAGAAAAGGCTGTCAAGATGCCTGAGACTGGTGGCGCATCAGTTGTTCCCAAGAAGAGTCTGACACTCGATGACCTCATCGCGGTCATCGTTCGACATGAAAGGAACCCGAGCAATATCCCAAAGGTCGATACTTTCCATTTCTGTGGAGAGAGAGTCTCAGAATGGCTAGAGCGGGTGGAACAAGCTTTGGTTGGGTGGCCGGATGTTGTAAAGTTTCAACGCATCCTTCCGTATGTCCTCCACAGCTACCATCAGGAGGTGAAGAAAGTCGTAGATGCGGCTCAAGGTAGCTGGGAAAGGTTCAAGGAGGGGATACAAAGGAAATACCGCCTGGGAGACGGGTTGTTGACCACCACGGACCTTGAAGCAATGAACAAAAAAGATTTTACGACTATAGGGGCCTTTGTTCAAGAATTTAAGAAGAGGGCGCGGAAGGTCCATGAGATTTCGGAGGAAGCACAGTGCGTCATCTTCCTGGGGCTACTCACATTATCGGAGGCCGTCGAGTTGACAAGACATGGAGGAGGTAGCACTAAGCTCACCTAGGCCACCATTGACAGAGGGGTGGAAGTTGGGTGCTTGGACCAGGTGGATCAACGTCAGATACGCCTGCAAAGACAGAAGAGAAAGGAAAGGGATGCGACCGCTTCTGGGACCCCGGGAGTAACAAGGATTGTTACAGACGTATTGGCACAGCTAGGGTATGCGACAGAGCCAGTGGTGCAAAGAAGGGTGGTGACGGCTGTCAAAGTAAAAGGAAAAGAGCCAGTGATAGAGGAGGCTGGCCAGGAGGAGCTCTGGGAAGAGGAAGAGCTGGTGCCGCAGCACCTGACGAAGGTCCAGCGCAAAGTGCGTAATTTGGCGCAGGGCGGACAGGGATCAGGAAAAGCGCAGACACCTCAAACCCAGGGAGCAGTCCCTTTAAATGTGGCGACTCCATCATCTAGTACGGGGCCCTCGCAAGGTGGGGCGCCCTCCTATGGACAGTGGCCCTGGCCAGTGATCAACGCAATTGTGCCATGGGGAAGTACGCTGCCAGTAGCCGGACCTCAAACGAGTATGCCACCACCCATCTACCCTGCGGCCCAGGCCCAACCTGTGGCCCCGCCACCGTCACCTGATTCCAGTTCACAGGGCAGTGTTGTAAGGGGTGGGAACCAGGGGCAGGGGAATCAAGGCAGCGGAGGGAGAGGTGGAGGAAAGGGGCGAGGCAGGAATGGCGGCGGAAGAGGGAGGCAATGGAATGGCTAAGGCCAGGGGTACCAAGGCCAGCTCGCATAGCCTGGTGGAGGATATGAGGACGATTGAGGAAGGACCTGGCCAGGTAGGACGGCATGAGGACCTGATGGGAGGAATGTATCTCCTTGTCAATACATTATTGCAGGAAAGCCTAGACCAGTCAGGCTCGTTGAACCCGGCAGGGAATGTGGACAAAATACCCGAGAGTCAGGACGACGAGTTCGAAGAAGGGTAAATTAAGGAGGTTTTTCGTGTAGAGGAGTACGACGGGATCTACCTAAAGCTGGGGTTTCTTTTGTCATGTGAAATGCGACTAAGAGATGCGAGCGATAGGGCTCAAAGGATGCTGCAACGCTACTTAGTGCGAGACGATCACCTTCTCGTGAGAAGGGAAGTGGGGAATCCCAAGAGGGTCGTCTGCGGTAGGAATCGTCAGATCGACGTCGTAGCAGCACTAAACGATGGCATTGCAGGAGGGCATCGAGGGGTACAAGCCACGTATGCCAAGATAAGTGAGTTGTACTACTGGGATGGAATGATGGACATGGTCGGRAAATTYTGTCGATCTTGCGTACCCTGCCAGGAGAGATMYCGTTTAAGGCAGGGAGAGTCGCTGCATCCAAGGTTAGAGCGAGAGGTAGGGGCCGTAGTGCATCTCGATCTGCTTTTTATGCCACTTGGGGATCAGGGCTATAACTATATCTTCGATGCGCGTGATAACCTGCCTGGGTTCGTAGACGGGCGTGGTATTCGCACAAAGACCGGGTTAGTCCTGGTGAGTTGCATCGAGGAGTACTACCTGAGTTATCCTTTCGTCAGGGAATTCGTAATGGACAGGGGATCAGAGTTTACCTGCTAGGAGGTGCCAGAACTGTTATCGAGATATGGTGTGGCAGCCAACTACACCACGGCCGCGCACCCCCAGGCAAATGCTCCCGTAGAGAGAGGACATAGTACCATTACGAACCTCCTGGCCAAATGGACCGAAGGTAGGCCTAATCAATGACCAAGATACCTAAGGGCGGCTTTCTTTGTCGAGAACATTACAGTAAAGAGATCCACCAAGTACGCACCTGCGACGCTGTGGTACGGAAGGCATGCCACCTTCCCTATCGAAAGCTTTCCTAAGACATGGAGGCCCCGGGATCTGGAAGTCAACCTGTCATTTGAAAAGTTGCTCGATATTCGGGCGCAGCAGGTCGGGGCGATAGGAGAAAGGATCCAGGAGGCATCTGATCAAGTGGTGAGAAGCCGTATGGATGATAAGGCCCGATGGGATCAGTCTGCGCGAGTGAGGAAAGTACCCTTGGCAGTCGGAGATGTCGTGCTTCTCTACGATACGTCGCTGGAGAAGCAGTGGTCCAGGAAGCTCGATAAGAGATGGTTAGGTCCCTACCGAATTGCACGGGCCGGAGACTTCGGAGCGTACCAGATCGAGGAGTTAAATGGGACTGAGTGGAAGGATTGGGTATCTGGAACGCGACTGAAAACATTTATGGCGAGAGAAGAGGTAAGAGAGATGACCTGACCGCCTTTAGAATAGAAGTAACAGGGTGTGTAGGTTAGAAAGGATACATGCCGCATAAGTGTGGTCTGGTCTGAGATTGCTCTGATTATCACCTGCTTGCTTACCCCAACGTGTGCCTGTTGTCTCCTTCGCCTGTTGTGCAACTCTGACTTTACGAAGACAGCCATGCCAAGAGGAGGGAAGGGGACACGACCGCATCAAAGGCTGTTGGGTGCATAAGGAGGATATGAGCGGCATGGGCCTCGCCAACGAGAGAGTACTCCAGTCTACAATGATGGGGACATCGAGCTATTCCTAGACAATTTCTGGGAGCATGCGAGGCGTATGGGCTGGACCGTCACTCAGGCGATTGAGAGATTGAGGGGAGTAGGTAGGTTCGAAGAGCCCATTGCCAGGATCGTAGGGAGGCGACGACGAGGCAGGAGGTGGAGATAAGGATGGAGGAGTTGCGACCCTCGCCKKTGGGACCTGATGGMAGRCSGATCCGCCTGAAGATTGGAAATGCGTCGGACTTCATCCCCGCGTTTGAGTGGTTCATGCAAGAGCAGGGCATACAGAGAGATGATTGGATGCAGACACTACCACTCTGGACCAGGAAGGCGGAAAGGCCACTGGCTATGCAGATCAGGGACATGGCACGAGATTGGGAGAGTTGCAGGGCACATTTGAGAGAGGCCTTTCGACGGCCAGAGCTCCCTCAGCCCAGAGTCGAGAGGCGGCAGAGGAGTCAGAGGCCGAGGGACCCTGAGCCCAGGGAGGCGAGACCATCTCGAGGAGGACAGAGCGCCCTAGCCAGGAGAGAGCAGGAGCCAGAGGATGAGGAGCGAGGGGCATACCCTGAGTGTGGGTTGGGGCCAGTGGAGTTCCATCGTTTTACTGAGGGTGGATTGAGGAGGTCGCCAGCACACACAGGGGAAGCCACCAGCGTCAAAGGGGCCCTTGAGGGAATTGGAGATGCATTTAGATATTTCTCGGTGGAGGGCATCGCTTCAGGGAGAGGAGCATGGAGAGCAGGCAGAGGAGGTGTCACGAGGAGAGGTGCCACGAGAGGAGGTGTCACAGGGGGAGATACCACGAGAGGAGATGCTGCGGGAGGAGGTACCACAGGAAGAGATCCGGGGTACTCACCAAGAGAGAGGGCTGGGCGATGAGGGGAGACGTGCAGGAAAGGAAGTGATAGAGGTTGGAGAGGATACGCCCCCATAGACGCCAGCAGTGGGTTTGAGACTCGGGGATGCACCAGGGAGCACCTGGCCGGCAAATGAGGGGTTGCAGAGAGAGGACACCCCTTTACCTTCGTCAGGAAAGGCTCCTTCGCCAGAAGGGAGGGCAGAAAGGAGGAGAGAGAGGGCAGTTGTAAGGAGAGAAGCTTTGATCGTGATTGATAGGTACCTAGCACCTCATGCCCTGGAACACCCAGACCTGGAGGAGCCAGCACCTGCAGAGCCACGCCATGAGTCATGCCAGCCCGAGAAGGAGATGGAAGCAGAAATCCCAAAGAGGGTCCACCTCCGCTGAGGGAAAGGGTGCCAGCTGGAGAGACGGCCGAAGAAAAGAGGGCAAGGCGAACCAGGCGGATAGATGAGATATGGCAGGAAAGGCAGAGGTTGGAGGCAGCAGGGGAGCTCCCGGAGCAGCAGCAGGAGAGGCAGAGATCGGAGGCAGCAGGAGCACTCCCWGGTCAGCCACCCARCRCACCAACTAGGGCCCCRGAGATTCCTGAAATGTGGAAAGACTTCTGGGAGCAGAGAGGAGAGAAGCTTCCATCGCCAGTCAGAGCCGGGTTTGGGGTGGCCAGGAAGGCGGAAGAAAGGTTAGATCATAAAATCAAATTCCTGGCCAAGACCACTTTTGACCGACACTTGTTATTGGAGGGCGATCTGGCGGGGAAGAAAATGAAGGAAGCCAGCCATGGAGAACGTCTGGAGGCTATGGAGGTGGAAATTCAGGAACTTAAGGCTTTGGTGGCCAGCCAGGCAGCTATCATTGAGAACCTGAGGCAGCGAACCCAGGGAAAGGTGGACAGACCAGAGAGCAGCCGGCAGGGAGAGCAGAGGCAGACAAGACAGGGATTGCCAGGACAGCCATCTGCGATAGAGCCTCGCCAGGAGCCACCTATGGGGAAGGTTATCCTGGAGCCAGAGGAGGCGAGGGCCCAGAGACAGGCAGAGAGAGAGGAGTTCAAGTTTAGAGCCCCCACCGAGCTCGCGACGCTGCCAGTGGCGGCGACAGGCCCAGTCGTACCTTTGGCAGTAGAGGCGGGGCTGCCACCATCTACCAGTGAGCCGTCTCAGGGCTCGGCAGAGGGATTCTTGGGCGTGCTCGTTGAGGCAGTGCATACTATGCAGGAGGAGGTGAGTTTGTTTTCACCAGAACAGAGGATAGAGGAGCCTCTTGAGAGAGAGATGAGGATTGAGAAGGAGGGTGCCATAGAGGGCAGACTCCAGAGGATAGGCACACCTTAGTATGGACCAGAGGAGATTGAGGAGCAGCCCACAGCAGTGCCAGAGGCGACACTCGAGAGGAGGCCTCAGAGATTGGACATGTCCGAGTACGTCCCAGCGGCAGAGGATTTGAGAGGCAGACTCGGATCTTGGGCTACTGGATCTGGGTCTGGTGGACCGGTTCCGAGGACAGAGCAGTAGAAAGTCGTTAGTACCGCAACTCCTCGATCAGAGCAGCAGGGGGGTGTCGGTACCTTGGTGGGATCTCCTTCATCGCCACCTCCTCAGTGCAGGAAGAGGAAGTTCAAGAGAAAGGTACATCAACTATGTTTTTACAACAAAAGGAACGTGCATCTGACTTTGGACTGTCTCGAGTTTCTTGAGGATAAGGCAGCGGGGAAGATCTCAAAGGTAGGGGGTTAAAATGTATGATAGAAAGGGTAGGATAGTAGAGAAGTCCGCAGATGGACTTAGGGCTCAGTTATATAGGCAAAATCAGGAGGAGTTGAGGAGGTAGGGTTCGGTTTTGTCTATATAAGTGAGCGAGCATTTTGTGAGGTATCAACTTAGGTTCTGTGTGATATTCTTTTAGACTTAGAAGACATTTTGATGACTACTATTAATCTAAGATCTGAACTCTAGTGTTTCTACTGAGTTGGGGCTTTGAGGGTCAGGGTGGTTTAGATGAGGCATGTACATATTTAGGTGGCCTACGCCCTGGCCTTTGAGARACAGATCYGACATGTATTTTAAGGGTAGTTGTCAGTGTGGGTTTGGTGTGGCTCGAGTTGAGCACGCTATGATCTGGAGACACTTTCTGTATGAGACATTGTATTCCCTGAGTGTATATTATGATGAGGTTTCCTTCAGGGAACATTCTTATATGTGACGATCACTTGTTTTTCTCACATGTGTGGTTGTACTGTGATGTATGATGAGTTTGTGTGGACAATGTGTGAAAAACATTTTATGTATCTTGAGTATTGTGAATATGATTGTAAGTAAAACTGTCTACTCCTCGGTATACTTGTACGACCTGCCCACGGCAGCTGATAAGGCAGAGTATAAGGGGAGGGAGCGCAGTCCGTCTGTRAAAGTTATCTAAGTTGTGATGAGGAMCCATAAGATGGTCTCTCAGTGATGTTCTGTTTTATGATGGGACCCCCTTGGATTTTGGAAAAGAGGGGATGTTTTGTGATGTTTTGTGATGTAACGAAACCC